ATCCAGGCAGGATCTGGCTAGACATCACTCAGACCACTGCAGCTCCTCTGTCATGAACTGCTCAGTACAGACAGCTCTCTGCTTGCTTTCTTCTCTGATTCAACAGAATCGTTCTTATCAAGTAGTTTTTCAATGATCACATTTCTTTCCTCAAGTCTCTTGCTTTATGACTTCCATTTAATGAAAATTTACTCATTGTCTAGTATATGCCAAGGCCTCATGATAAAAAGTTCGTTAACAAATGGTATAAACTCTCAGAATCTAGTTAAGGAGATATGTAGATATATATAATAGATAAAATATGCTGTAAAAAATGCAACACTGATATTATAAGTAAAGTGTTGCAGCAATTAATTCTGCCCAGTGAGGAAAAGAAGAGAGAGGGGGGGTACAGAGGAAAAGGCCTCGGCACTAGGATTTGAAAATAGCAAGGAATGAATATCACAGGGAAGAAGAAACATCTTAAGTACAAGCACAGAGATATGTAAGCAAACAATATATTAGGAATGCACGGTGATGCAACGTGCTAGATTGAAAACTAAGAAAATAAGAGTGAAAAGGTAGGTCAGTAACATGCTAAGGGGCCTGACTATATTCTGAGACCCAGTGGTTTCCAAGCTATTTTGACTGCACACCCCATCAATAACAAATTTTTGTACATGCATCCACCCCCAATATATATATTTATTAATATATAAATTAAATTACTTTGCTAAGAACTATTATTCTAATATGTTACATTCATTAGGGAATAAGTGCAAAAAGATAAATGTATAAATGATAAAGATGAAATTAATATTTTCCCCCAGTGGAATCAATTTTCATTAATTAGTATTATTAAATAAGTTACTATTGTGTGTCAATGCTATCAATGAGGAACTAATAAGCCTTCCATAATAAATAAATTAATATACTATGCTTTTGTTGACAATTCAGTTCTAACTTGCATTTTTCTTGCTTTCTTGGTGCTAACAAAGGCACCAAGAGTATTTACAAAGTCCAACATAGTATACTTGTGTTTACTTCTTTGATCCTAATCTCAACTGTTAGGAAATCTGAAAGACCTTTATGATAGTGGTTTCAAACATGTCCATCTACACCATGCCTTTTACATATAAAAGGTATAAATGAATAAGTTTGTCTGCTTATAACTGTGTGCCTATTTTATCTCTCAAAATATCTCATAAACACTTAAACCAGGGGCTGATCCTCTTTTCCTACTTAAAAAAAATTACCATCGTGCTTAATACAGTGATAAAATAGCTGCTCTGTAAGGTACAAGTAGGATTATATTTTACTATTATCCAAAAAAATATGTCTTTTTTAACCTCTCAGGAATGAAAACTTTTAATTAGTATTTTAATATTTTTGATAATAAATTTAATCCACACAAAAGTTGATACCTTTACAATTTCTGGATTAAGAAGCACAGCATTATCAAAACCCAAGAATATTTTCTTCAATTTCAACCTTAAGCCTCAAACCTGACCTAAGATAAACACTTAAAAAGTAGAAAGGATAGCCATCATGATCAAGTGAGATTTATGCTAGGAATGCAAGGTTGGTTCACATATGGAAATTTATCAACGTAATACACTATATTTGTAGAATAAAGGGGGAGAAAACATAATTACCTCAATAGATGTAAAAGACAAATTGACGAAAAATCAACACCTTTTCCTGAAACACTTAATGAACTAGGAATAGACTTTGTCAACCTGATAAACAGCATCTAAGAAAAATCCACACCTAACATCATACTTGATGGTAACACACTGAAAGCTTTCCTTTTAAGACCAGGAACAGACAAGAATATCTGCTCTCCCCACTTCTATTCAACATTGTACAGGAAGTTTTAGCCAGAGCAATTAAGCAAGAAGAAGAAACGAGGTCTCTAGATTAGAAAGGACTAAGTAAACTATCCCTACTTGCAGATGATATGATCTTGTATGCAGGAAATCCTAAGGAATCTACCACAAAAGTGGGGGGGAACTATTACAGATAATGAACATGTTAAGCAAAGTAGCAAGATACAAGATCAGTATACAAAAATTAGCTGATTAGTTATATTTCTATACCATAGCAATGAACAATCTGAAAATGAAATTAAGAAAAAAATTCCACTTGTAATAGCATCAAAGAGAATAAAATACTTAATAAATTTAACAAAAGTGAAAGACTTGTACACTGAAAACTACAAAACATTTATGAAAAAAATGAAAGATCTACACAAAAGGGAAGTCATTCTGTGTTCATGGATTGGAGAAATTGATACTGTCAAAATGGCAACATTCTCAAAATTGATCTACAGATTCAATGCAATCTCTATAAAAATTCTAGCTGCCTTTTTGGCAGAAATTGACAAACTGATCCTAAACTTGCTATAGAAATGTAAGGGACCTAGAATAGCTAAAACAATATTGAAAAAAGAACAAAGGACTTTATCACACATCTTTATTTCAAAACTTACTACAAAGCTACAATAATCAAAATAACATGGCACTGATATAAGAATAGACATAGATCAATGGAACAGAATTGGAAGTACAAAAATAAACCCACAAATCTATGGTCAGTCAATTTTTATAAGGATGCCAATATAATTCAAGGGTAAAAGAATAGTAGATAACTAGATATCCACATGCAAAAGATTGAGGTTGGGCGTCTACCTCACACCATATACAAAAATGAACTCAATTTAGATCCAATATCTCAATATAAGAGTTAAAACTATAAAACTCTTGGAAGAAAACACAGGTATAAATCTTTGTGACCTTAGATTATGCAATGATTTCTTACAAATGAACTTAAAGCACAAGCAACCAAAGGAAAAACAGATTAATTGGACTTCATCAAAATTTAATCAAGAAAGTAAAACGACAACCTATAGAATGGGAGATGATATTTGCAAATCATGTGATAAAAGTCTTGTATCCAGAATATATAAAGAACTTTTAAAACTCAATGATACAAAAAAATAACCCAGTTAAAAATGGACAAAGGATTTGAACAGGCATTTCTCCAAAGAAGATATAAAAATGGCCAAAAAGGACATGAAAAAATGCTCAACATCATCAGTCCTCAGGGAAATGTAAATCAAAACCACAATGAGATATAACTCCACATCCACTAGGATGAATATAATCAAAAGATGGACAATAACAAGTGTTGACAAGAATGTGGAGAAATAGGGCCCCTCTTACACTGCTAGTGGGAATGTAAAAATGCTGCAGCTGCTAAGGAAAACAGGTTAGTGGTTCCTCAGAAAGCTGAACGTGAATTGCCATATGATTCAGCAATTCCTCTCCCAAGTATACACCCAGAAGAGTTTAAAGCAGGGACTCAACTGATATCTGTATTCTAATATTCACTGTAGCATTATTCACAATAACTCAAAGGTGGAGACAACCTAAGAATCCATCGATAGATGAATGAATACACAAAGTAGAGTACATACTTACAATGGAATATTATTCAGCTTTAAAAGGAATAAAGTACTGATACATCCTATAACATGGATGAACTGGGAGGAAAGTATGGTATATGAAATAAGCCAGACAGAAAAGGGCAAATTCTGTATGATTCTACTCATGAGGTACCCAGAATAGGCACATTCATAGAGACAGAAAGTAGACTAGAGGTTTAGAAGAGAGTTATTGCTTAATGGTTAGTGTTTCTCTCTGGGATGATGAAAAGTTTGTAAATAGATAGTGGTGATGGCTGTGCAACACTGTGAATGTAATTAATGCCATGGAAAGTGGTACATTTTATGTTATATATATTTATCACAACTTAAAAAATTAGTAATATATCCCAAACCACAGGATTACATAATTTAAGTAGGTGAATTGTATGGTATGTGAATTATATCACAAAAAGCTGTTTTTAAAAAGTGAAGTGGGAAAAAATGAGCTCTCAGGCTATAAAACTACATGGAGGAATCTCAAGTGCATATCGTTAAGTTAAAAAAAGCAGTCTGGAAAAAATCATACATACTGTATGATTCCAATTATATGACCTTCTAATAACATGACGTAAAGGCAAAACTTGAGAAACAATAAAAAGTTCAGCGGCTGCCAAGGGTTTGGGGCAGAAGGAGAAGGATGAATAGGTGGAACACGGCATTTTCAAGGCAGTGAAACTATTCTCTATGACACTGGAACGGGAGACACAGACATTTTCAAAACCCAGGACTGTGGAACACAATGAGTGAACTCTAATGTAAACTCAGGACTCAAAGTTGGTACAATGTGCCACACTAAGGCAAGATGGCAATAGGAGAAACCATGCGTGGGTGGGAAAGGGAATGCGGGAACTCTATTTTCTGCATAATTTTCCAGTAAACCCAAAACTGCTCTAAAAAACCTTCTTTTTAAAAACGTATACTTAACACAGAGGACTGCACTGAATTTTATTTTCTTCTCATGATTCATAGGACTATTCACTTGAAACACAAATTATAATTTTATATTAGATGGGGAGGAAGTGCTAATTCTTTTACCACTGGAGGATATCTGGTCCTACTGAATCATCTCAGCTCAGTATTCTATGTACCCTTTCCCCAATTACCTCCTCCTCCACCCCCTCAAAATTATTTTATGATCTGAATTTTTATATTTCTATAACTACTTCCATCTAGTCTTTGAAGATTCCATGGTCTTTGGAAACACTTCCTTACATTTATAACTAAATTCCAGTCTAATTATAATTATGAATTACAGTGACATTATTATACCAAATTTCCATGCCTCCTGTTTTATTCACTTTGCTCATTTTCTATGAGGCATCACTTTATCAGGAACCTAAGTGTGTTAGTTTTACTCATCCTTTTGAAAAAAGAAATTGTTCTGTAAAGCACTCAAGAGTCAACAGAAAGGAGTAACTGGAAACTGTCCCAGAAAAGAGGCAGCTAATACATTTAAGAGCAACTTTTCCCCAGCTCCGGGTTTAAAGTGATCTCCTAATCACTACTGGCACACTGTATAAACTTTAACTGTTACCTTGGTCTTTTCCAGCTTCATCTATGTGTTGAAAATCTTTTAGTGTTTGAAGATTACAGAACCCCTCTCTGCAATGCTGAATAACTTTCTTTGATCCATTCTTGATCAGATAATCCATTAGCATAAGAGATTTATACACATGGCGCCAGTTCTTCCCATGGTCATTGAGTCTCTGCCACAGTATACTCATAATCTCTGAGAGATACATCGTGTTGAAGGTCAGGTCACTGATATCTAACATCAGAGAACTAGAAGGGCCCCAAGGGTCATTAGAAGTTGCTTCCCTGACTTTTATTTCAGCATCTGAGTAATTTTTCACAAAGTTTTTCACTTGCCTCCTGAATGCCATAGGTAACACAAGTTTGGAGTACAATGGGGATGAGAGCAAAGGAATAGTTTATGTGACTGGTTTATAAAGCCCTTGAGAGGTAATCTGCCCCCAGTTCTGCTGCTTGCAGATACAAATGATTTATCTCCATATGACAAGGCATCGACTTCCTGCAAAGGAAAGCACAAAAAAACTATGTAAGTTAAATATTTAATGTCAATACAAGACCGAGTCAGTCTGAAAATCTAGGTTTAGTTTCTAAAGCAGCCCATCACTTACATAAGCCAGAATTGAGGGTACTATAAAAAAGTTCCTAGAATCAGTATGGGAAAATCTCTCATAAGGGACTGGCCTATGTTATTTTAAAAAATATAGGTGGTCATCTTCTAGTCCTAAAAGTTGCTGCTGAAAATAACATTCAACCTCTTTGGCTAGAAAGAAAATTACAATAAAGCGTTACTGGACGATGGACAAGTTAGTGTACGATAATGGAACTTGCTTTGACATCTCATGCTTAAGATTTGTTGTCATGTATAAAAATATTATGTCCTGAAAGCAATTAAGATGGTGAAAATTAAGTCTTAGAATCACCAAGTGACCCTTACAGCTATATATTCGTTTTAGAATTACAAGTCATCAGAATCAGATCTAATTATGTTCTGCCTTCTTATTAATTTTGTTCATCTAAAAGGGGGTAAGGGGGTCATCAACCATTAAGACAAGCAGTTGCACCTCAGTGGACTCTTTATCTAACTCATAGTAGCCTAAACCAATATTCTAATTCTGATAAGACGAGTAAACTTATGCACAAGGTTAAATTACTTGGCGTTAGAAAAGGAAGCATGAATTTAGGACTAAACAATGTCAATAGGATGATTCATACCAGGTAACAATTTTCCTAAAACCTGGAGTGATCAGTATGTATCTGTTAGATTTTAAAACAAGTACACACAGAGAGGCCCATTTAGGCTGATACAAAACACATGAAAACCTAAAAGGGATCATGCAGCCCCCAAACTTTAAATGATATTTGTGAATGATCAGTTCACAGTATATACAAAACCTTTCCCTTTCTTCTTTTTCATTACTTTGCATTAAGGTGGGTCACTTAGTCTGCAATTTCCTTGGTGACTGGCTGCTGACAGCCACCAGGAGAGTGCACTAAATTGATTTCAAGCCCTGACAAGCAGCCAGACCCAAGGAAGACTTGATGATCTATAATCAGACTTCACTAGAGAAACTGCACATGTACAAAAGGAAAATGCTAAAATCCTTAACAAATGTGTTTTTTTGTTTTTATTTTTAGTTTTGTTTCTCTTCCTTGACCTTCTAACTCCTACCTCAGGCTTGATTAATTTCTATGTATTTACAGAAGACATAAATTTTCAGAAGCATCCTAAATGAGGTATCACTTCTTTTTTAAAAAATAAAAAAAGAAGATAATTAACTTTTTTTTTTTTGGTGAAAGTACAACACAACCGCAAATAAGCAAGATAGAAAATGTATCAGTTTAATTAAGATTCCTCAGAAATAGACTATCATCAATCCTAGGAAGAAGAAGAGAAGTTTCGTGTTTTTACAATTTTCTGCTTTCTCTCTTGTTCACATTTCAAATACAGGCATTTTTATCTGACTCATTCCTGCAGTGAACACCAGATTTACAATGTGTTTCAATAAGCTATTAAAATGTTCAATCATGAGGGTTTTCTTTTTTTATTGTCCTTTTTCCCCTCTACAAAACTCACTCAATGCAGAATGCATTGTGAAACTGGCTTAGAGCAACAAATATTGATTTGTTTCCACATAAGCTTATTAAAAAAAAAAGGCCCTGTTAGAATCATAATCTGCTGGAATTGAACAGTAGTTTTTAAAACATCTTTTTTTCTTTTTTGGATAGCTAGCTATGTTTTGGAAGAACAAAATCCTAATTTATAGGATTATTCTATAGTCTGCACTTTTAATTTTAAAATACGTTTTCTTAAATGAATTTTTAGCCCCAGAAAAGTATCTAAATAATAGCCTTCAATCCTAGAGTCGTTTATAATGGATGTGCTTGACATACCAAAATTAAATACATTTCTAACCGTTAGAAAAACCACAAAGAAAATCTGGATAAATGTATTAATATAATTTACTAACGTAAAGTACTTTGTGACATGAACAAAGAATATGTAAGGCACCATTCTACCATTGATATCTTTTCACAGTAACAAGGAATTTGATTAATTGGTATTAAATTATATGTTAGTTGATTATGTGTTTTAGACACCTAACTACATGCAAATGTTTAGTTTACTCATACTATCAAAAATTTGAGATTGTAATTACAGTGATGTGACATCTGAGGCACAAGTAGGGCCCATTAAAATTCACACCTGAATTTTGATTGTTTGGCTACCCAAATTCATACAATGCTTAGAAGCAGAGGGAACTAAGATAGTCCATGTCACAAATCTGGGTCACCCCCTCTGAGAGGCCTTCACCCACCACAGTAACTACTTAGGTCTTCCATCATACCCTTCTCAGCAGTTGGTTTATTTCCTTTATGACACTTACATGATCTGTACTTATGTATTTGTCATTTGCTCTTTGGCTTTCTCCACCACCAGACTGCTTCTTAAGAGCAGGACCATGACCATCTTTTCTACCAGTATAATCCTGTTGCCTAACGGGTACCTAGACTGTAGTAGGAACTCAAGAAACAGGTGCTGAGTGAATGGCCAAATGACTGGATGATTCTGCTTTGGGATGAACCTCATTGATTCTACAGCTTTAGATTAAAAACATGATATTTCAAAAACATAATCCAGCTCTTGTAATTATTAAGTAAAATTCTACAGTTTTAAACAAATATTTTCAAATCAACCAACAAACATTTCTTGAGTACCTGCCATTTATACAGCTTCATGGAGTATATAACAAAAAACATGATCCCTGCATTCAAAAAAGCACTGTTTAGTTAAAAAGCTTTCCCCCTTAAATAATTCCCAAATAAACAAAAGATGAAATATAAGAAAATCTCTTAGTTTTCTTTTTAGATTTCCCACTTCCACAACACTGCTTCCTCTGCCAACTTTACCCAAATTGTAACAGGAAATCACTTAAGTTATAAAGTGACACCGTAGAATTCACACTCAAATTCTTTGGACTTCTGAAAGGTAGAGTGGTGTCTATGCCACGTAGTACATGATACCCACAGTAAGATGTTGGGACCACTCTGGGCCATCAAACACATTACCACGACTGAGTGCCAGGAGGAATGTGGAAAGAGGCACTTAGGGCACTGCTGTAAGGACAGAGCAGATTTGTCTTTGCACAGATTCAACCTATAGATGTTGACTGTGGAAGGAAGGAAGTTCTGGTCAAGATTGTTAGGGGGAAATGATCATAGAAAACACCATGGCATTTGGAGGTATGACTTATTTGATGGGAAGAACACTGGAGAAAATTTTTTTGAGCCTCTCCATGTGTTCACTAACCCAGAGTTTACCATGTGGCAGTCTCCATTCTAGGAAATTCTAGGTACACAAGACCAATCCCCACCCTCCAGAGTAAATGGCTACTCTTTATTGAATGTTCACAATACACTCATACCCAGGCATTTACATACCTCACCTAATTACTTTAATTAGGATTATAATGACATGGATTTGAGGTCCTGCTCTGCCATTTCTTAGTTCAGGCTTAACAACTTCTCTGGGCCTCAGTTCCCTCCTCTGCAGCATAAGAAATAATCGCCATACTGGGAAGACTGTTGAAAGGAAGAAATGAGATGCTTGGGGAAAATTTTTGAACATGAACGATGGAAGCTGAAAGGGAATCGACTTCCTGTAGGCAGGTTCTTTACTTGGCATCCGTTTCTTCATTCACCCAGAACCACTTGAGGATGAAGTGCGTACAAGGCAGGCTCTGTGCCAGGACCGTGCAACACAAATGAATCGGACCAGCCAGTGCCCTCCGAGAGCCTGCAATTCACCTGGAGTGGGCAGCTGGGCCGGGGAGAAGCTTCTGGAATGGGGCAGGGCCGTGATGGCGCCACACAGCAGGGACCTTCCCTCAAGCAGACTGTGCAGGCCACGTCCCCCTCCCGTCCTCACCCAGACGGCAGAGGCACCGGTCTGGGGCAGGAGGCGGGGGAGCAGGACCTCCGGGCCTCCCTCCCTCCTCGCCCCACCCGCAAAGGAGAGTCTACTACCTGAGGGTCCAGCCGCCAGCGTAGTCTTTTCCCGCTCAAATTCCTACCCGCGGCTCCCAAACAGCCCCACCTCCTCCGGTCAGGCTCAAGCCCCTGCGCCCTTCCCCACTTCCGCTTCCTCACTTCCGGCCTCTCTCGGGTGTGGTGTCCGCAGCTCCTAGAACCTCAAACTGGAGGCATGCGCGGGTTAAAATAACCCAGCTTGTGAAATGAAAGCAAATGTCTTCATCTCACAATCGGTTGTGCTGTGGTGCTACCCTAATCCTCTTTCCAAAAAGTAAGTTTTGCAATTTGTGTTACTAGTGTAATTTTAACTGACTGGAAACGCCACCCGCGGCTGATTTCCACCAAGAAGGACAAAGAATGTACCAGTAGTGGCTAGAGATGAAACGACCAGTGTGTGTGATGAGCAGCCATGGGGTGCCTCCAATAAGGGCCTCGGGTACCGCTGTCCAGTAGTTGTTGAAATAATTAGCCTATCTTCAGTGACCACCCACTATGTGCCAGGCACCCCGCCACACAGTAAAGACCCGGAGATAAAACATCAGTCGAATGCTGGATGAGATTTTAGGCTAGTGGAGGTGACAGGCACCGTCACAGGAGATTGTGACAAGATATGTATCTGGTAATAAGATAGGAGAGAGCATCTAATTCTGCCAAGGAGTATTTAAGGGCAGGTTTCACAGAAGAGTTTACATCTGAACGAATCTTAAAGGATGACAGGGAGTTCACTGGATAGACAAAGTAGAGGAGGCCCTTTAAGACAAAGGACACATCACTGTAAAGGCTTGAAAGCTGAGAGAGCCTATTATCTTGATAAAACTGC